TGTATGCCACCATTACCTCTTTACCAGCCACCACAGGCCTTGCTTGACATCAGAATGTTTTTGCCAGTGGAAACAACAAAGGCTCTATTGTAAAGGAAGCTGAGATGGTGACCTGTCTTTTAGTCACATTAGTCTTTTATGCTATTGAATCCAGAGGTAAAAGAAAGGCTTACTATCTTGCCAAGGATGACTCAAAATAGAGAGCTATAAATATATAATGGGGGCCAATGTCATGGTTTTTATGTTCAACAGTAAAAGCTAATGCAAAGTACAGAAACCCAACCCAGGCAGGACCACTAATAACACAGACCCTTCATGCAAAAAGGCACAGTCACCATGCCAGGTAAAACTCCTTGGCATGCTAAGATGTCGGCTAAAATCACGATGATCATAAAATGGTTAATGGAAGAAAGAGGTTGCAAATACCATCCATGGCCATCTATCCAGTTTCATGAATGTGCTCTTATTGTTTAATTATTTTATTTAATAATTATATATTTGCATACATTAATATTTCCATTTTCCCTTTCTCCTTACATTGAATATAAATTAATTAATATTACTTAGTCCAATATTTCAATGTTTCAGTTATAAATATGTCTATGTCCACATATGTCTGTATGGATACATAGATAGTTTTGTAACTGACTAGAAGATAAATGAGCTTCACACTGACATGTATGAATGGCATATCAGACTTTGTATCTCCTCTTTCAAGGACAGGATGAAAAGTCTTCAGTTATGTGCTAGTTATAGCACATTAACCTAAAGCTAATTCAAAGTTTAAAAATAAAAAAGCAATGTATAGCAAAAATGAATTATCAGGTTATCAGTTTTCAACTTGACATTATCACTGTCCTTTGCCCAGTCTCATCTGCACGTTAGGAACTATATTAGCTAGAAGCGTCTTTCTTGTTTTATTCAAGATTAATTTACTAATGAAGAGGACCCAGTCCAAGGTATGAAGAAAAGGAGAAATCAAATGTAATCATATGCATGGAGATGTGAGATTCTCAGTGGCTTCTCACTTTTCACTAAGCACACTTTGCTTCATTGCTAGAAACTAAAATAAGAGGTGAATGCTTCATAAAAATTCCTGAGAATTGCAGAAGCTTTCTAGTACATCTTTGAGAACAACATACCATCACCTTGATCTTTAAAATGAGCTTTCCAGTGTATGCTTATTTAATGTCTGGCAGTAGCTTATCTGATTTTTAGCGGACTTTTTGCTAATACACCACCAGTTCTTACATCAGTCATCTAAATTTATATTAAACCATTTTTACTTTGCATACAGTGGCTTCTATTTTCTAATCAAGTCCTGAATTATACAGTGAATAAGGCCTGGACCAGGGGTGTGGGTGCAAAAATATATGGATTTTCACTTTATATAACCATATAGTTTATTTTTTGAATGGATTAGAGTATGAGTAGAATATGATGAGTTACAAGTTAATCATACTCTATGATGTTGTTTATTTGAGGAATATATTTATAATGTGTGCATTATGTGCAGTTTTAAAAAAATATTATGACTCATGTAACAAAATCCCTGAAGTTTAACAATAAGGAAATGCTCTCATCTAAATTAATTATTAATAGGGAAGTTTTCCTGTAGATAAATCTGAAGTCTTACACTGTATGTAATGTATTTGTAATGACACATTTATATTTTCTTTATTTAAAAACTGGTACCAGATACTCCCAGAAGCTTGAGAGGCTGAAGTGGGTGGATCACCTGAAGTCAGGAGTTCAAGACCAGTCTGGATAACATGGTGAAAATCCATTTCTACTAAAAATACAAAAAATTAGCCAGGCATGGTGGCACACACCTGCAATCCCATATACCTGGAAAGCTGAGGCAGGAGAATTGCTTGAACCAGGGAGGGGGAGGCTGCAGTGAGCCAAGATCACATCACTGCACTCTAGCTTGGGTAACAAGAGTGAAACTCCATCAGGAAAACAAAACAAAAACAACAGCAACCAAAAAAAAAACTGGTACTAGAACATTTTTCCATAACTGTTCATAACATTTTATTTTATTCTGCAAAGCCCTCATTGACAATTGCAGAACTAAAATTAGTAGGAAATTTATGTGGAAAAATTTACTCAATGTTTAGTTTACCTTGGGAGTTAGCTTGTGAAGTAGTAGAATATCTGCCTTACCTTAGTCGCTATTGCTGTTGCTTACTATTATAAACCTGTTTTAATTAAATGTCTTATTGCTCTGTTACATATTTATGTACAATGTAAATTAATAATTTTAGCTTAATTCTCTTAGAGTCAATGCCATGTGAAATCTGATTACAACTTTAAATGTCATGATGCCCATATGCAATTGCCAAGAAATATTCAAAATAAACCTCTAAGAAGAGAATAAAGACCTCAATATAAAAAAAGCATCCTGCAGCAATACGTTTCATCTAGATTGTTTGCAGAACTATGTAGGCAAACTCATTTACACTTTTGTTTAGAAAAAAATTGAATTATATAATGAAGAAGAGCAACAGAAATCAGAAAACATGGAACAAGGAAGGCACTAGAAAAATTTGGTTAAATTTGGAATTGTCTTTGAGTATTGACTTCACAAGTCCATATTATTTTTAAATATTATTTTATTTTAATATTAATAAATTATTTATTGGCCAGTTCTTCTTAGTATGTCATAGATTATACAATCTTGCACAGAGGATAAGGTAGTTTAACCAATAACAAAGAAGTGTGGTATACTAAATTTACTTATATAAACAAACAAACAACTAACAATCATTTAGAAGGAAATTATGGATTTTAGAAACAATAATTGTAACAAGTCTATTAGAGACCCTTTGATGGACAAGAACTATCAATATACATAGTCTTATCAATGACCGTGACAATATAATTTGAAATAATTGAATTATTAGGGTCAATTGAAGACAATGCGATTTTGGGTGATAAACTATAATCCATTCATTAAAGTCAATTAGTAACTAAGTCTGTGATAATTCCCTTCAAACAAATGACTATATTGATTCTTATTACAAGAATTTAATAGAAAATCAAGATATCAAATGCAATAGTACTTAGAGATGGTTCACAATTTCTAATGTAGTCAGAAATGAAATCCTCTCATACTTGCTACTACTAAATGTAAGGTGCTTAGAGAAAAGCACTGAAAAATAAAGAAATAATACAACTGAGAGTCTTCTAGGTAGTGGTGTACAAAATATTACTACCATGTCTAAAACCATTACAAATGAACTTCGAAAACCTTAAGCTACGTGTAATAAGCCAGTCACAAAAGGACAAATAATGTATAATTCCACTTATGAAAGGTACTTAGAGACATCAAATTCATAGAAACTGAAGGTAGAATGTGTGGTTGACTAAGGGAAGAGGGGAATGCAGAATTACTGCCTAATGGGTATAGCTTCAGTTTGGAAAGATGAAAAACTTTCTGGAGTTCTATAGTGGTGATAGTTACACAGCAATGTAAATATACATAATGTCGCTAACTGTACCCTTAAAAATAGTTAAAATAATAAATTTTATGGTGTGTGTATTTTACCACAATTATAAATAAATAAATCAATGCAATTATAAGACATTAATCCTACTTTCAAAAAGCAGGTGATCTGCTCAGGATATAGGACAAGAAAAGTCTAATTATGAGGAATGATACAAGTAATGATATAAGGCAGCAACTGACAAACTGTCAAATAATTGAAACAGAACTTATTTCTCTTCTAAGAGCATACCTGGTTAGAGCTGTGCCAAATTACTCATCACTAATGGGCTTGTTGCATCTGCAGCCTTTAAATCTCTATTTAGGTTGTCTCCAATCTTGTAAAAAGATGTCCTAGCTTATCTCAGTGTGTTCCACAGTTCTACTGGTTTTCTGCACATCTCATGAAATGAAAAGTTTGAGAAGAATTGTATACTAAGTGTTAGAAGTTTTGAAAAAGAGAGATCACTATGGTTCAGAGTAGAGTTGTAGAACTATGTAAACATCAAGGTATTTAAAAGAGATCTTAAAATACGAGCATGGTTTTCATATGCATTCTGGTTTTGTAAATTGCTGGAAATAGGTAAGAGTTAAGAAAGTATCAGGTACATGAGGGGAAATAATGACAGGTTAATATGATTTTAGCAAAAATGATACTATACATGAACAGTGGAAGATAAATTTGGGAAGCAAGTTAAGGAAAGCTTTGGAAGGCCCACAAACAGTGGGTGGGAGTAGGTAAAAGGGAGGCATTGAAGATTTGATCTCGGATTTTTGAGTTCAGTTTTCTTCATGAATTACTAGATAATGGCTACAAAACTAAATTTCTTAATAGACTCCTTCTTAGTTTTAATATAGAGTGAATGTTTTGACTTTTTAAAGGAAATATTTCCCTTAAATCTAATTGTTAGACTTTAACCAAGACTTAAGAATAATTTTTTATAATGTATATATGTGTATTTTCAACATGTATAAATATTTGACAACTAAAGAAAATATTTGGGACTCCAGGAGCAGGCGGGGCCAGAATAGGGGGACCCCTCACCTGCCCCGATCTCATAGTACAGGTTCTCTCCCCTGTCGAGGCGTGCAGGGGGCCCCAGGGAGCTCCTCCAGACTGGGGCTGGGGAACTGGGCTGGAAGGATGGGGGGCCCAGAGGGTACAAGCCTGGCTTGGGGACCCCAAGGAAGGGTGGCAGGCACTCCCTGGGGGCTGGGGAGAAGAAGCCGGGGGCAGGAACCTGTGTGGGGCCTCGGATTCCCCTCCTTGAGGTCCCCATGGGCCGCTGGCTCCTCAGCAGGCTCCCATCACTTTGTTGCCTTGGTAAGTAGGGTGGGGGTCCTGGCACCCAGGCACCCGGGTGGGCTAGGGAGTTGGGGGCTGGTACACTCCCTGAGGTCCCTGGTGGCTCCCCGCCCACCTCCAGAGACAGCGAGCGTTGGAAGGGGGATTGGGCAGCAGGCGGGGTGCCCCCGCACTCCTGCTGGCTCTGTTGCTCGGCTACCTGCTGAGCCCGCTCAGCCCCCCAGCACACTGCCCGGCGCCCGACCCAGCCCGAGCCCCTGTACGTCAACCTAGCCCTAGGGCCCAGGGGTCCCTCACCTGCCTCTTCCTCCTCCTCTTCCCCTCCTCCTGCCCACCCCCGAAGCCGTTCAGATCCCGGTCCCCCAGTTCCCCGCCTTCCCCAGAAACAACGGGCACCCTGGGGCTCCCGAACCCCTCACAGGGTGCCCAGTCCCTGGGGCCCCCCGAGCCTCTCCTGCTCTACAGGGCAGCCCCACCGGCCTACGGGACGGGGGGTGAGCTCCACCGAGGGTCCTTGTACAGAAATGGAGGACAAAGAGGGGAGGGGGCTGGACCCCCACCCCCCTACCCCACTCCCAGCTGGTCCCTCCACTCTGAGGGCCAGACCCGAAGCTACTGCTGAGCGCCAGCTGGGAGGGGGCCGTCCTTGCTTCCCGTCATCCTCACTGGATCTTGGCCCCGACAAATCCCTTGTTTTGTATTTTCTTGAGCCCTGACCCCTACCCCAGGTTTCTAACTTTCTAACTTGTTTCTGATGTGGGTTTCTAACCTGTAATCCCAGCTTCCCTATCCTGGGCTGAAGGGTCTGCCCATCCCCCACCTCCCTCCATCCTGGGGGTCCTCGCACAAATCTGGGGAGGGGGCGCTAGGCTGACCCCATCCTCCTCTCCCTCCAGGAGCCCCCAGCATGTCCTAACCTGTGCATGGGGGTGGAGGGACAGTTCCTGCCCTTCTCTCCCCACATGCCCCACTAAACCATCTGACAACATTAATGAATAAAAAGGTGAAAAAATATGTGAAAAAAAAAAAAAAAAAAAAAAAAAGAAAATATTTGGTTTATGAGGTCTAAACAACTAAAGAAAATGTGTGTATATTTGAGCTCTTACTTTGGAATGTAATATCCAGTCCTCTATAATGTTTTATCTCTATAATGAAGTTGTATACAATAGAATTTTTAAAACCCTTAAAACAGAGATCTGATACAGCAGGTATTTCCCATTTTTGAGTCAGTTTATGTGATTCTTCCTATAATTCTGTTACATTTTGCTGAAATCTCAATTTAATGAGATGTATAGGGACTTAGTCGAGATGGTTTCTCTGCTAACCTGACCTAGTGTTTAATCACAATTTTTTGGCCACATATTGCAATTAAAAAAAAACACACTACTATTCTTTGAGACCACCTTGATCTGATAATTGGAGGTCCCTGTACCTTATTATTGTATGGCATTCATGTGTCATGACTGGAATAGCCTCTGAGTTATGTGAAAAATGTTATGTCTTGAGACATCATGTTTGATTTATGATCATTGCTTTTTTTCTCAATTTAACTATATTCTCCAGGGAACTGAACATGAATCAGTCCTCAAATCACCCTGGGGCTTCTGAACCAGAGGCAGGAGAACTGTGAGCTCCTCACAGCTGGCAAAGGCCGATTCTTCCCAAGTGAAGATATATCACAACTGGTCCCAGCAAAGCACATATTTCTAAATGTCCTTAAATTTTGTCAGGTTACATACTTCTGTCATGAAACTAAAAAGGAAAATTCATAAACTAGAAGGCTTAAGCAAGTGGATTCACAATAAACTTAACAAGATCTGGAATCATGGTATTGGTAATTTGAATACATATTCACACTTCCTAAGATTATTTTTTCTATGTTCGTTAGCTAGCAACAATCTTTCCATTGTCCTAAAAGTATTCTGAGCCCAAGTCAAGAGTAAATAAGGCTGCTAATAAAAATTTATTTATAATTAATTGAGGGCTTATGAGGGTATAATAATAGTAGGTATTGCAGCGTTAAATTTTAAAAAGTTATGCTGTCCCTGTTATTTTGAAATTAACAGTTTACAAAACTGAAATCTGTAAACTGTAAATCTGTAAATTGGAAAATTATGCAAATAGTTTAAAATACAAATTCTTATTTTTCATTTTGGATAATTGTTTTGATGTGACAGTAACTGACAGCAATGATTATAAGTGTGTAAGGATACACATACTGCCTTTTGAAACTGATTTGATTTGTTACTCGAATAATGCTTACTTATTTAAAGCGAATTTTTAAAATTACCTTGCTGACTTTCATTTTAGGGAGGGACTTTATTCTATAACATGCTGGTAGTAATCGGCCACTCAACTTTTATAATATTCGTCCAGTAATAGAAATTAGCTAATTGCAAATTAGATGTTTCCAAATTTAATAAGTCAAATACAGCTTTGTTCTGAGAAAACTTTGCTTTCCTATATATTCTAATTCTTGGTCTTAGTTCTACCTCCTTAAACTATCTGAATCAAATCTAGCCTCTCTCCCTCCCACCTGCAAAATGCTTCTCTCTTTTCCTGCATCTATACTTCTTAGGCATATATTCATGGTCCCTTTTGGAAAGAGTGGGAGTGCTGAAAAACACCAATGAGTGGCTAATGTGGTGGGTAGAAATGTAGAGAGGGTTGGAGGACAGAAGGAAATACTTTTTTAAAGATTAGCATGGCAAACTGATGGGTGAAAAAATATATGACTGTTGTCATTTTCAAACTTAATTGCATAAGAATATATAGCTGTTTGCCAGGCAAAATCAGCCATAAGACATAGGTAGCATTCAGCTTTCATGAGGGATGCCCCAAATTCCAGTTCCATCTAAACTTATTCCTGGAATTTTATTGCACTTCTCTTTCTTTAGGATGGTAATTTCTGGATGCTAATTGTAATTCTGAGGGTTTTTTTTTTTTTTTTTTTTTTTTCGCTAGGGAGCAAGCTTTCTTATGTCTTGGGCTTTTCTTTCCCCAAAGGTTGGGAATAGTTTGTCACTTGCCTCCAATGTTGCCACTAAACCCTTCTGACTGCTGAGTTTCAGCTCCTTCGTGCTAAAAGAAAACCTTGCTACCTTCAAGTAATAGTTGCCTGCTAACTTACCTATTTTGACCTTCACAATCTAGTATTTTCCTAGGAAATAATAATTCCCTGTCTAAAAAGTTTGACCAAGTCTCCCAAGGGCAATGCTGGGAGCTAGTAATGTGTGAACATGTGTGTCAGTCTTAGCCTTTCTTATCAAGATGGAGCAAAACATCATCCCCATCCTATCTCAGGGGGAAATTTATGGCTTGTAAAGACTAATTTCCCAGAACCTTGATTGACCTTCAAATCCAAGTCTGCTTAAAGGGAAAAAAAAAAAAATGATGATGTTATTCAAAGGATTAGTTCCCAAATTCTCTTCCCTACCTTTCTCAGAGAGCCTAGATACAATCATATAAATAGAATCAATATATTGATAGTTCCAGATTGCTGTCAAGGAAAATAAGTTTCCATGTGAATTTGTTGCATTTCATATAGGGACCAGGATAAAATGCAATTATTAATTTTCTTGGCTACTCATTATCAACACAATATTAACTTTGAACATAACATTACGATTTACAAATTACTTTTTACAGAATTCTGCTCTTTCAAATAAACATGACCATAATGAGTAAAAGCTTATTATAATATTGTAGAGACTATATGGTACCCGTTATTGCCAAATAACACACTCCATAATAACAGATTAAACCATAATTTAGATGTTTGGCACATTTTCAGTTAGCTTTCTTGATGGATAGCTTTCTGTGCAATTGATCATTAGTAATAGAAGATTTTCTGCAATTAACCAGTGCTTTTGCTGTTGATCCTGTTTTAGCAGGCTTTAAAGGATACAAAATGTTCAAAATAGTTTAATTAAGCTTCAGATCAATTTCAAAATTGTATCTATACATGTTTAATACTGGAGAGTAAAACAATTAAGAATGTTGTGATTCTCATTCCAGTTTTAGCTTTTTGTTGTATTTCTTATCAGACATTAAAAATTGCCCAGGTGCCTGCAGCGTAAGAAATTTTCAGTTTTCCAAAATAATCCCCTGTCATTTCTCTACGGAAATGCTGTCTTGATTTTAGTCACTAAGTCCTTGCTCAGCCGAAACAAAAACAAAACGGCAGAGCTTAATGTAACATACCTCTCCTGCTGAGCCCCCATCGGTCCAGGTGTTAAAATTTGGACACTTTTTTTTCATGCCCTTGATATATGAAAACAAAACCAGAAGGAAGCTTGTTGAGGAAACTGTGTTTTAAACAGTAGTAGCTCAATCTGTTGATTTACAGGCTACTGATTTACAAGCTGTGAATGAATTGAAGCCTTCAGCAACAGGAAGCTCTGCCATTGGGAAACCCTATAGCTACAGCTGGAGCCCAGGGACCTGCTTGACTGCTTACAGGAAAACTCACTCCAGGAGCTCCCTGTAATCAGGGTTGTTAAGCAGAAGGAAATGTCTTCAGTGTTCTTACATGACTCTTAATCAGATACTGACAGAGTGCCTTTGATCAATGCATTTGCACCGTGAGGTTAACCATAGGGTTCAGTATGTCCACACAGATTTCATAGTCAGCTCCAAATGTACACAACTAACAGAGAAACTATTCAAACCCAATCCTGTTGCTGGCTCCGTTTCTGTCCTCCTCACCTCCGGGATCTGTTGTGAGGATTAATGAACTACATTTGTCAAGTATCTTGCCATCTCTGAACCAGAACTGAGAGCAAACCATGAGGCATTGTTGTGGAGGCCTGTTTGTTACTTCTTTGATACCTCCACATGTCTTAATTGAAAGCTTAGACAGTGGCACCAGCCTGCTGCCCTGTGTTAGGCCTTTAAGAGCACAGTAGTGGAGAGAAAGAAACCTCAGGGAGGAATTATCTCACAGACAGAGTTCACTGGTGGGTGAAATGGCCCTGGCTGTGTTATTTTTCATTTGCCAGCTTCGTTGGGATCCAGAATCCGTGACTTGAAATGAAACTACTGTACAGTGTGGCAGAGCAGAAAAAGTTGGTGCCAAGCCCAAGAAACCGGTTTGCAAGGTGCATCCCAAATTGGTTGAGGCAAGAGTTATATATTTTTTTGTCACTTTAATTGCCTGTGAAATATTTCATGTACTTTGTGTGAGTGGACAAGATGGATTAACTCCATTTTGTTGTAGAGAAAAAGAAATGACTGGATCTGCACTGAACTTGGTGTGGGGACATATGGATAAGGTGATGCTACTAAGTTCTTTGAGTATATATCACTCATGACAGAATGAAAGTTTCTCTCTTTACATTGATGTATTCACTGGACAATATAGAAAAATAGAAACAAAATAGCACATGAAATCATGCAAAACTACAGATTATAGTCACGTCTAAAATAGGAATTACAAAATTGTAATAGAAAACCAAAATCTAAGAAGAGCTTTTTTTTGAAATTTAAACGTTGACATAGGATTGACAATATGCCAAGGGTTAGTAAGAAAAAAAGGCAACTCTTAGAAAGAAATCCATTTTTAAAAAGTACTTGCATCTACTATTTTAAACAGTAAATATAAAATTCAAAATATAGCCACTTTTATAGTACTCAAACCACTTGGTTTTCATGAGAAAAGCACACACAGGAAATTGAAGAATTACTTTGCATGCTCTAGTTATTGACCTGTAAAAATGAATAGGGAAAAAATCAGTGAGGCAAAATAAGAGATAAGTGGTTATGGTTACTCTTTGATATATTACCTTGAACTTTAGAGTGATTAAAGTTTAGTAAAGGTATTTTTTTCCTTGTATTTTTTCAAATTGGCTAAAGTTATGATAATTTAGGGGAGTAGTTAATAACTTTACCTCCCAGCCATCAACATTTACTTCAGATGGAGTCTCACCCCACTTGCTGGTTGAGAATTTGGATGCTGTAATTTATACAAATGAATTGCAATCTAAAGTAAGTAATTTCCAAAGCCTTTGTC